ATGCTCAAATTCCACATGAGGAAGCTATTGTAAATGAAGATGAGGTTGAAACTCAAGATGATGATCAAGTGAAATCTCAGCAGGAAGTGACATTAAGGAGGTCTACTATAGATAGAAAAGATCAACCATTCTTGATGACTATATTGTTTATACACTTGAGCATTGATAATTATCCAGTCTCATTTAACCAAGCCATACAGGATAATAATTCTCCTTGAGGATTATTTTGGTTTTGGTGGCTCATTCTGTTCTTGAGCTCCACCAAATGGTTGTTAAAATTACCTTTCTGAATGGTAAATTAAAAGAGGAAGTATACATGGATTAGCCGTAAGGCTTCATGGCCACAGGAAAGGAAAATCTGGTATGTAGATTGAAGATGTCGATCTATGGATTAAAACATGCTTCTAGACAATGGTACTTGAGATTGTCATTTGGTTTTGTAGAGATCACTGTTGATCGGTGTATCCACATAAAGGTTTAATGGAAGCAAGTTTGTAATCCTAGTATTACATGTTAACGACATTCTTCTTGCTGCTAATAATAAAAGGGATGTTGCGTGATGTTAAGGAATAGCTTTCTAAGAACTTTGAAATGAAGGATATGGGTGAGACTTCATATGTGATTGGAATAAGAAATATTCCGTAATAGATCACATGGGATTTTAGGTTCATCCTAGAAGACTCACATTAACAAAGTTTTAGAAAGATACAAACTGGAAATCTGCAAAGAGGGTCCTGTGATACTTACAAGGCACTAAGGACCACATGCTCACCTATAAAATGAACGAATAACCTAGAGGTTATAGGTTATTCGGATTCAGACTATGCCGGATGTTTGGATACCCGAAAATCCACATTCGAATATATTTTTCCACTTGCTCGTGGAGCAATATCTTGGATGAGTGTGAAGGAGCCTGTCATTGCTACTTCCACTATAAGGGCAGAATTTGTAGCATGCTTTGAGGCTAGTAGACACTATAAAAATTGGCTGCCTTGTGCCAACATCATTTGCATCCAGCTATAAGCATCTCCATTTTCGAACATCATTCGATTCTTATAGCTGGATGAAGATGATTCACTGCACTTTGGTTGCATATTGAAGCTGCGATTGCTATCGAAAACAAATAACCTATCTATATAAAACAAACGACTTAGATTTAGGGAATAAGAAGGAAGATACTTTTTTTAAAATCCCAAAATTACCTTTTAGGTTTGACCTGCAAATAACACTTTAAGATCAAATCAGATAAAATGTCATAATCAATGATCAAATTGAATAATTTTAGTAGTCGAGGATCAAATTGGTAAAATCCCCATAGTCGAGGGACTAAACCAGTAATTTTCTCGCGTTTGAACGTTTGTCCGAAAATTGGCATTAGCGATAGCTTAATTGAGTTTTTCAATTCTCTAATTTTTTAAAATTTGTTTCTTCATAAAATCCTTCACTTTTTCACTTTGCTAATATTTTGCCGAATTTATAATATTTCCAATTTCTAAAGTAGCAGAACCCCAGACGTTGAACTGCCAATTTTTTTTTTTTTGTTTTTGTTTTTTGTTTTTTTTTTTATTTCCTTATCCCTCCACCTCATTTTGAAGTTAATTATTATTATTAATTCATTAATTTTTAAAATAGAGAGACTGCATTAACACAAAATTAGCCAATTAGGTAGCAGAATTAAATTTAAACAAACAAGTTGGTTTAATGTAATTTTTGTCAATTTAATTTCTCTATTTTTGGACAAAAATTAGGTAGACTTATTAAATTAAATAAACATGTTTGTTTAATTTTACTTCTTCTACCTAAGTTTGTGTCAATTCAGTCTCTCTATTTTATAAATTAATGAATGGTTAAATATAACTTATAAGTGCATTGTGTCCAAATGATCACAAGAGTTAGGCCAACTTCTTTTTTCATATAGGTGATTCTTTTTTCGAGTATTACGTACACTTCAGTCTTGTCAACTAACACTTAGAATTTAGTTGTCATTTTCGAACATAGGTGTCAACTAAGTTTGGTATCCACTATATAGCACATGTATTCCAAGAGATTTAATCTCATTCATCATGACAACTTCTCTACCAATTCTTTGCTCAATCTTTTAGTTAGCGAATTCGCTATATTATCCTATAACTTTCAGTATAGTCAACAAAAATAAAATGTATTGCAAGAAACTATTTAATAGTGTATGTTATGTATATGTCCTATATGTCTAGACTTACCGTTATACATATTACTAATTTACTATATGTCCTTCCAATTGCGAATTGACTATCGTAATGCATACATATTGGAGATATATATTTTTTCTAGGGGTAAATGCAGGTTGGATCGACCCATTAGGCCTGCCCCAACGCAAACTTTTTTTGTCGGGCTTTTGCGGACCGGCTTGCGGGTTAGAAAATACACAGCCCAAGCCCGTCCATGCGGGCTCGCGGGCCTTATTTCAAAAAAAAAAAAAAATACTACGTATTATTCTATTATTTTATATTCAAATAGTCTAATATAAATAAATAAAAAAATCGTGTTTGAAAATTACTTTTTTTTATATATATATTTTTTAAAATTTTAATGTTATATACGAAGTGTGTGTAATATATATATATATATATATATATATATATATATATATATATATATATATATTATTTATATTATTTATATTTATGTTTATATTTAAATACGGCATGGCTCGTCGGCTGGTCCGTTAGGTCCGCTCTTTTGTAGGCCATTTTTTTGTGTGACCCTAAATCGTCTCACCGCGGGACAAGTATAGGGCAGCTTGCGGACTTCGGTCCATTTTGACATATATATATATATATATATATATATATATATATATATATATATATATATATATATAACATTAAAATTTAAAAAATATAGATTTTTTTTAAACATGAAAAAAATTAATATTATTTATATTAAATTATTTGAATATAAAATAAATAATACTTTTTTATAGCTTGCGGGCTGGTCCATAAAAGCCCGTAAAAAGAATACGTTGGGGTTGGCCTAATGGACCGATCCAACCCGCATTGACACCCATAGGAAAAACATCTATCTCCAATTTGTATGCATTACAATAGTCAATTTGCAATTGGAAGAGCATATAGTAATTAGTAATATGTATAACGGTAAGTCTAGACATATTGAACATGTACATAATACTATTAAATAGCTTCTTGCAATAGGTTTTATTTTTGTTGACTATACATGAAGTTATAGGATAATATAGCGAATTCACAAACTAAAAGATTGAGCAATGAGTTAGTAGAAAAGTTGTCATGATGGATGAGATTAAATCTCTTGGAATACATGTGCTAGTGGATACCAAACTTAGCTGACACCTATGTTCGAAAATGACAACTAAATTCTACTACGTAAGTGTTAGTTGACAAAGTAGAGTGTACTGAATACTCGAAAAAAGAATCAGTTATGTGAAAAAAAAAAGTTGGCCTAACTCTTGTGATCATTTTAGACACAATGCACTTATAAGTTATACTAGTATTTTTTATGCGCGATGCACAAAAAATAGTTGCACAATATTAATACATTATATTAAAATTTTAAATTTATTTAGATTTTAGATATTTAAATTGTTCTAACTAATAATACTAATAATAATAATGTAAATAATTTTTATAAATTTCAGATTTATATTTAGGTAATAATTAACATATAACTCAAATATATAATGTGTATATATTATTATTAAGGGAAAATGACACTTTTTTTCCCTGAGTTATATAACACTTTTTTTCCCTGAGTTATTTAAGTGGCTCTTTTCCCCCTAAAATGTTAAATGGACATATTAACCCTTAAAATAAATATTTCAAATAAATATTTCATTTATTTTTCTTCTCTAACAAATTATTACTATAATTTGGTTCAAACCAAACAGATACTATAGCAACCAAACCAAAATATTCCAATTACAATTTAGAATCAAAACGCGATATTTAAAGTTTATTAAAATTGCAAATCGGAATGGTCGGTTCATGTTCCGAACTGAAAAAATAAAATACATTTATTGTTGAATTTAGACTATTTTAAAATAAAAAATAAAACAAAATTTTAAAATAAAGACGGTTCAAAATCGCGAACCGAATCCGGAACCGCCGGTTCACGGTTCATGATCCAGTTTTTTTGGTTCATAAAATTTAATAAATTGAAATCTAAATATTGGATTCTAGATCTGAATCATAACCGAAAACTTTTAATTCGATTACTATAGTGTCCGGTTCAGTTCGAACCGAACCGTGGTCATTGCTACATATACACAATAATTTGTTGGAGAAATTAAATAAATAAAATGTTTACTTTAAGGGTAGAAATGTCAATTTAATATTTCGGGGGGAAAACCACCACTTTTAAATTAATTGAGGGGGCTAATGTGCTTATATAAATATAATTGAGGGGAAAAAGTGGTATAAGTATATAACTTAGGGGGAAAAAATGTCATTTTCCCTATTATTAATGAAGAAGATAAGAAAATATATGGTGAATGCATGTGCCTTTATAGCATAATGTACAAAAAAAACTTAACGAAAAAAACAAACATAAATAAGGGGTATAACTTTCATTCACACTTATTATGTTTTTAGATTAGATTTAACCATACATGCATTAATTTGTAAAATAGCGAGAGTGAATTAACACAAAATTAGGTAGAAGAAGTAAAATTAAACAAACATGTTTATTTAATTTAACAAGTCCACCTAATTTTTGTCCAAAAATAGAGAAATTAAATTGACAAAAATTACATTAAACAAACTTGTTTGTTTAAATTGAATTCTTCTACCTAATTGGCTAATTTTGTGTTAATGCAGTCTCTCTATTTTAAAAATTAATGAATTAATAATAATAATTAACTTCAAAATGAGGTGGAGGGATAAGGAAATAAAAAAACAAAAAACAAAAACAAAAAAAAAAAATTGGCAGTTCAACGTCTGGGGTTCTGCTACTTTAAATACTGATAGGAGAGTTGTCGTTCATTTTACAAGTATTAAGGATGTACACGTATTGAGAATGTAGGCTACAGAAATTTTCAGACAGATAGATACATAAATCCGTATAATAGAGACAGAGAAACAGAAAAAGAGAGAGTCACGTTAATCCTGAGATTTTCCTCCATTTGTCTGAAGCTCTTCATCCTTCAACACTACCCCCACATCTCACCTTTCAAGGTCCAATCTTTATCATTCATCTTTAATTTCCAGCTCTATCTTGGGATTTGCATGTAAATTTTATTTATTTTTCGGGTTTCTGTTTCCGATCTTATGCTTTTGTTCCAAAGGGTATTTGATTTCATATATTATGAGTTTTGCATGCATTTTCTCTTTTGTAAAATGAAAGAAAATTTGAGATATTGGTGGGTTTGATCTGAAAGTTTGTTTGTTTGCAGTGATTTGTATGTTTTCGGGAGGGATTGGAATGGGCAACCCGGATATGTGAACAGAAACCACGACATTGGGAAAAGATTTATTGCAAAAATTGTTTTGATTGTTTTGGATTTTGTGGTAGAAAAAGGGGAAGAACAAAAATGGCGTTCGGGTTGTCTTCTTTGCTCCAAAATTCGGATTTGTTCACGTCTGATCATGCTTCCGTTGTGTCGATGAACCTCTTTGTGGCGTTGCTTTGCGCATGCATTGTTCTTGGCCATCTACTCGAGGAGAATCGCTGGGTGAACGAATCCATTACTGCCCTTATAATTGTGAGATTTCAAGCTTACTATTCTTCATATTGGTTGTATGTTCCCATCTTTAATCCAAAACAATGTTGTGTGTGTGAATGTTTTTTTTTTTTTTTTTTTTTTTTTTGGGAAAGAAAGTAAAATATACATCCTTTTTCTGTCCCTATTGGAGTTCAAACCTATGACCTCCCAATTAAGAGAGTTACAATGATGCCGATCGGCTCAATACCACAAGGTCTTTGACAAATATAAATCTGTTAGATCATAGCCGGGCCCGACATGAGGGTGGGCGATATGGGCACCTGGCCACCAACGTTGGGAGGGGCCCTAGCTTGGTTGTTTTTTTTTTTTTTTTTTTATTTATTTATTTTATATTTTTGATGAAGCTTAAAAAAATGTTTCCAATGCAAAGATTTGAATTCATGATTTCAAAATTGTTTATTAATTTTAAATCCACTTAACAATTACAACAATGTGATATACTTATCTCATTTAATACATACAGAGTATATATTAGTGAACGTTGAATTAATTTATAATTAAACTTCATATAGGGCCTAAAGTTTGAATGGGCACTACTCCAAGATTAATCTAAAAAATATATATTTTTTAAAATAAATTATATGTATACAAAAATTCAAAATTATCATTTAATTATTTATAATTAACACATACAATCCTTTAACTTCATATATTAAGAGCCCTTGATTTTTTTTTTTTGAAAGTAAAGACCCTTGTTTTTATTTTGCCCCGAATCTATAAAATGATAGGATCGGCCCTGGATCATAGAGTAACCTCCAAAAGCCTTCTAGCATGTGAGTCTGGTTAGGAAATCATTGGTTTAATATTCATTCTTCTCAAATATACCAAAAAAGTCAGTGTTGTGAGTGACATGTAAAGATAAAGGTATATGGTTAGCTGATTAAATAGCATTTTTAGAATTTAATTATAATATAGTTTGTTATTTTCATCATTATTGTTATTATTTTAATCTTTATGTTCCTTCACAATTGTATTTTATTTATGCATTGATGGCAGGGTTTGTGCACCGGAGTTGTAATTTTGCTCCTTAGCGGAGGAAAGAGTTCACATCTTCTCGTCTTTAGCGAAGATCTTTTCTTTATATATCTCCTGCCACCTATAATATTCAATGCGGGGTAAATCTTATGATTTTTTTTTTTTTTTTTTTTTTTTTTTTTTTTTTTTTTTTTTTTTTTTTACCTCTATATTGTTTGTTTACTGGTGTGAATTTATATCTTCCTTGTATAAAATGCTTGTGTGGGGGAAATTAACAGTTATTACCTTCATTCCTTCTTCTTTTGACATTGAATTAGTCTTGTCTCATATAATTAAAAAATCCAATCATTATTGGTCCACACAACGGTATAGACCATAGTATCAAATAATCTATACACTACACAAATAATGTACTTTTAGTATATTAAAAATGTACATTGTATTAGTAACTATAGTTTTGTGAAGCATTTTTCGTGAAAAATTCCATATGTTTTATGGGTGGTATCTTTGTTCACAATCAATAACTAATTCAGGAAATACTATGAATATGAGCATTCCATTCTTTATTGAGGTTGTTAGAGTAGTTATTTGATTCCTAACTTGAAATTTTGTTTGGTAATCTCGTGGTTCAGTGTGTAATTCTGCCAAATAAGTGTTTTTTTTTTTTTTTTTTAAATGTATTACCCTATACCAGGTTTCAAGTGAAAAAGAAGCAGTTTTTCGTGAACTTCATGACAATTATGCTGTTTGGAGCTATTGGCACACTTATTAGCTGTTCTATTATATCATTTGGTACTAATCAAAACCTCGACATTCTTATTACCAGCTAATGCCTTCTTTGTCCCAAAATAATTTATGCTGCGATTGATGTATTATCAACTCATATTGCCGTATCTATATGATTTAGGTGCGGTCAAAATTTTCAAGCACTTAGACATTGACTTTCTGGATTTTGGAGATTATTTAGGTATCATGTATATTCGTCTTCTTTACATACACACACAGTATCTTCATGCTTCTTGATTCTAACAACTTTTTTTTTTCTTCTTTTTATTCACAATTCAGCAATTGGTGCGATATTTGCTGCAACCGATTCTGTTTGCACATTGCAGGTACTGAATATTATGATTTATGAACTGACGTATTCAATTCGGTGAAGGCACATTATAATTATAGCTAAAAATAAATTTTATTTTATGCGACAGGTGCTCAGTCAGGATGAGACGCCCCTACTTTACAGTCTCGTGTTTGGAGAAGGGGTCGTCAATGATGCTACATCTGTGGTCCTTTTTAATGCTATTCAAAGTTTTGACATGACTAGTTTTGATCCAAAAATTGGGCTTCATTTCATTGGAAACTTCTTGTATTTATTTCTCTCGAGCACTTTTTTGGGCGTGGGAGTAAGTTCTTCTCCCGACTAGCTATCTCTCACCCCCGTGTGTTTGTCTCTATCCCGCTTGTTTTCTTGTCTTCACATTTGTCTTTCAGCTGCAATTTGACTTCTTATTCATGCTGTCGCAGATTGGACTGCTTTGTGCTTATATTATCAAAAAGCTATACTTTGGCAGGTAAATCAGTGTATAAAATCTCTATGAGAGTCGGGTTTCCTTCCAACTCTTTGGTGTTTTTAACTTGTCGTTTTGACCTCTTAGTTAATTTCATTTATTTAATATGTGATGGATGACAGGCACTCAACCGATCGTGAGGTTGCCCTTATGATGCTCATGTCTTACTTGTCTTATATAATGGCCGAGGTATGATCCTAGTTAAGTTGTGACGCTAATAATGTTGTCGTAGTGTTGAACTACTTGCTTTCTGTTTAAACAAATTCTCGTGTTGCAATTTAGTAAACTTTTTCGCGTTTTGCAGTTATTCTATCTAAGCGGCATACTTACTGTATTCTTCTGTGGAATTGTCATGTCTCATTATACCTGGCACAATGTTACCGAGAGCTCAAGGGTCACTACTAGGTATGCTTCTACAAACCTCTCTTCGAGTCTTTGCAAGTTCTCGTTATTGTAACACACGTTTGCGAATTGGGTTTAATCCTACTCCCGTTTTGGTTGCAGGCATTCCTTTGCAACTCTGTCATTTGTCGCAGAGACATTTATCTTCCTCTATGTTGGTATGGATGCCTTGGATATCGAGAAATGGAAATTTGTGAAAAATAGGTATGTTGAATACGGGTTACACCTATAGTCCTTGTATGCTTGAATGCAGCAAGAAATAATATTTCGTTGTCAATCAGAAGTATTCACTATTCCCCCTCCAAAATAAGTTATAAACTATTGGTCAACGCCCAGTTAACTTCAAGAAATTTAGTTCTTGTTAAGAGAGAGAAAAAACAAAAAACATATGAGTTTATAAGGTCATGAGTTAGACTAACTAATTGATTGGATGCAGTCTTTTAGTGTGGTTTATTATAAGTTATAACAATTTTAAAAGATAAAACAATAAACTATGGTTCACGGAACTTATAAATCTTCTTGTATTTATTTATTTTCTTTCAGTCAGGGACTATCAGTTGCAGTGAGCTCAATATTGGTAGGCCTAATCTTAGTAGGCAGAGCTGCGTTCGTATTCCCCTTGTCGTTTTTATCCAACTTAGCAAAGAAAAACTCTTCGGACAAGATATCCTTTAGGCAACAAGTAAGGAGTTCTCTACAAAATTCTCATTTTATATTATCTTTTACGAGTAATATACATCTCTTACTCCTGTCTCTTAGATAATAATTTGGTGGGCTGGCCTAATGAGAGGCGCCGTCTCAATAGCACTTGCGTATAATAAGGTAAAGTATAATAATAGTGCACAAAATGTTACAATGTCACTTAGAATTGAAAGAAGCCGGTTGGGTGGTCTTTCCATTTCCCGATTTCCTTGTATTGCTTGATTAAGATGTTTATGCACGGGTGCAGTTTACAACCTCGGGGCATACGTCATTGCACGAGAACGCAATAATGATTACAAGTACTGTTACGGTTGTTCTGTTCAGCACAGTTGTAAGGACCTACATACACATTTTCGAGGCTTTTTTTCTTTGATTCTCGCCAAATGAAATCTTACGGTTGGTTGGTTGGTTGTGTGTTTGGTGATGGTTTTAGGTATTCGGGTTGATGACGAAGCCTCTGATAAACCTTCTGCTACCCCCGCACAAGCAGATGCCAAGCGGTCATTCGTCAATGACAACATCCGAACCCAGTAGTCCGAAGCACTTCACGGTGCCACTCCTGGACAACCAACCTGACTCAGAAAGCGATATGATAACCGGACCTGAGGTTGCTCGACCAACTGCCTTGCGCATGCTGCTAAGGACGCCAACCCACACCGTGCACCGCTACTGGCGTAAGTTTGATGATTCGTTTATGCGTCCCGTGTTTGGCGGGCGGGGATTCGTTCCGTTTGTCGCGGGCTCACCAGTTGAGCAGAGCCCTAGATGAGGTACAAAGTACAAACAAGACACTGTTGCTGGGTGAAATAGTGTAAGTTGTATCATAGTTGATTCTGGTTGCCCCTCTTATGAAATGGGCTGGGTGAAAGTCTTCTCACTAGCTAGGTTGCATTGCATTGCTACTTCATAAATGTTTTATTTTATTTTGTAAATGTTGGTGCATTTTAGGTACTTGTATTAACACCTCATTTGTAGCATATTATTTGGTACAGAGTATTTTTTTTATGAAACAATAATGGCTGAATTATCAATTTGGCTCTATGTTTTGATGCTTAGTAATTTGTTTTTATTTTTTAAAAAATTTATTATTATCATCATTATTATTATAGTTTTTATTTTTAAATGGTCAAATATGCTCTCGAACTTTAGTTAAAAAGTCAATTAGCCACCTCAATTTTTTAAAGATACAATTATACCCATCAACAATTATTTTGATGCAATGAAGCTAAAAAAAACAGTAAATGACCTGCTATCACAGGTTATTTGGGATCCGGCCACCCTTCGGCGAAAAGTTCAAGCAAAAAAGTGACCAGTAAATGGTCGTCGGTCACGGAGAAGGAGAACGAGACCAAGGGGTCACCTTCTCTGTAGAGAAGGCGACCTTGGTCACCTTCTCCGTGACTGGCGACCGTTTGCCTGTCACTTTTTTGCTTGAAATTTTCGTCAGAGGGTGACCGGATCTCTAATGACCGGCTATATTTATCAATTTTTGAGCTTCATTGCATCAAAATGAATTGTTGATGGGTGTAATTGTACCATTAAAAAGTTGATGGAATTAATTGACTCTTTTTTTTTTTTTTTTTTTTTTTTTTTTTTTTTTTTCGGGCCTATATTAATGACGACCTAAGGAAATATCCTTCAATTTACCATTCAACTATTATAACGGCTTCCTACTACTACTATTATTATTATTATTATTATTATTATTATTATTATTATTAAGCCCCTTTTTAATGGCTAGATTAAAAATAAGAATAATTAAGATTAAAAAAAAAAAAAAAAAGAGTAATTGACAAGACCAGGAACTAAGCAGAGATAGAAGAGAATGAAGAATCAGAACATAGTTAACAACAAACAACTTAATAAAGAGAACAGTCATAGAAGTAATGGGAACATTTAGACATCAAAGGATATTAATAGACACAGCAAACACAATACTTTATTTATACTTGAAAGCATAGAAGGTACATTAGTATATATTAAAGTAACTAAAATTTATATTCCAAATCAAAACTTAGCTTGTTTATAGTATCCATCATTCATTATTACAAGTTTCATGAATTAGAAATACGGGGAAGTTTAGTCCAGATACATTTAACTAATCCTCTTGTATTATAATAGTTTTTACTTGAAAAACTCTGTGGAAAATTGCGCCACTTCTTTGTTGCAAGACAATAAAATACCCCTTTGCCATCATAAAACCTTGGAAAATATATCTTGTTACTAGCTCCTCTGTCAGTTGCTTCTTGAGACAAAGATATCTTGGGAGAAACGTAGAAGGCTTTTCCTTTCAAATTATCAATCTTTTGCCAAACCATTTTAGAATCAAGCTTCAAAACCCGAACTTCCCCTTCCTCAAGAGTTGCCACACACATGAGATCTCCATCACTCTCTAGAAAGAATCGATCTCGGAATTTCATAAATTGTTTTCGGTGTGACTTACCGATGATATTCCAATTAATGTTGTCTCCATGCTCTCCTTTTGGAATACAGAGCTTCCCTAGATTTCCAGATTCTCCTAGAATATAAATTTCTCCATTGCGAATAACTGGGGTGCAAGTCGAAGCTATAAAGTCTTTATCATTTACTAATTCTACGTAGATCGACCATGAATTCTCACCAAAATTCAATATTCCTACAGTAATAAACTCTGGTAAAATACTAGCTATACCAACAATTTGACAATTGGAAGAAGTTGGTGATTCGGAAAAACAAACCAATGGAAATGCTATACCTGGTGTGTCCGGTATGTCTATTCTAACCTTAGTTGAAGGGTTGAAAAAGAAATAAGATTCAGCGCCTTTACCAAGAAGCAACCAACCCTGATTTTCATAATAAAGTTCAACTTCGAGAATATCATCCTCCAACAATTGAAGAATGTCAAGTGAATAGTTGATATTGCGAGTTGGATCATAAAAATTGAACAAACTAGTTTTTTTGTTCAAGTACATCAGATGCAGGTCACAATACGAATATATATCACGTGAGGATGCATGTTCAAGTGAGATTGGCAACAATAGACGAGGAAGTGGTATTATTGACTTCCAGGATCTACATACAGATTGAAAAGTATAATAATCTCCAATAGATAAACCTGTGATAATATGTGATAAGAGTTCATCGTTTAGATCTGACCATGGCCTTTGTGTACCAGAGTCATCGATACTACTCATCTTGATCACGTGCATTACCTGTAGGGGGACTAATTATTTATGCGCTTCACTCTTTGAGTAAACTTCAGTTCGCAATATCTCTCAATGTACTTCCTCTATATATAACAACTGATGAGATAATTGTTTCCCTGCAGGATTAAGATTATATTCTTTAAATTTGCCCTGATTAAGGATTATAAAACTCAATCTACACTCCAAATACTAATGCATTTAGGATTAGAAAACTAAAATTATACTCTTAATATATCTGAATATCGTAATCCTAATCCTAATCCCATTAGTTAAAAGGTAATCTTGAAGGCTATTAAAGAAGCTGTAGAGTCATCTGTCATCAGCATGCAACACAAAACACAAAGTCAGGCCAGAACCTTGAATTTCTTAAATCGAATTTTCTTGCTGGTAATATTCTTTCCCTTAATTTTAACTGAGAGCTATGGAGTTGGTTGCTGATCATGATGCCAAAACCATGCTGCTGCCCAGTTTCCCCCCACCGCAATCGCACCCTTACCTCTTGTTTTATCAAAATAAACGAGTTACACTATATAGTTTCACACAACAGTATTATTATAATATTGACTATTCTTTCATGTACAACAAGTATGAGAGTGCGCAGGCATGTAAGGACGGATGGATGGTGTTACAAGATTGCCACAATCTCGATATCTCACTTTATAATGTCTATTCACACGAAAGGGTGCAACTTCCAAAACTGGAACCATTCACGCATTTTGCTTATCTTTCATCTAGTCCTCATGATCCTTCTTGTTATGTTGTATTGGTTAAAGATGATCCCTACAATGGTATTTCTAATATCAATTTTTGCAAGATTGGTGAACAAGCATTTGTGACGCAAATGTTAAGGGATGATACTTTAATCCAATCATTCACAAGTTTTGGTGGAAATTTGTATGGATTGAGGAAAAATCGTACCACTTTAGTACGTGTTGAATTTGATGGTCAAAGTGTACAATTTCAAGAGGTGATTGGTGATAATTTATTTGAGGAGCCATTTTCAAGAAGACCTGAACGCGACAGTTTATCTACAGATGGTTACATTACAGAAAGTTGTGGTGAAATTTTATTAGTTTTAAAAATTTACTTTGCAAAAAGGCGTTGTCAGGTAGAAGACATACGAGTCTTTAGAGCGGATTTGTGCACAAGAAAATGGATGGAGATGGAGACTATAGGAGAGCGTACCATATTCTTAGGATATGTTGGAGGCATATTTTGCATTAATAGCAAAAATGCAAATGTGAAAACTAACTGCATATACTTCATTGAAGAAAATGACAGAAGCATTTATGTTTTTGATTTGGAAGATATGAGTGTTTCCATTGACATTCCTTGCCCTCATGTTGGCAAGAAAAATTGTACATCACGATGGGTACTATGATTTTGTAAGTTATATATTGAATATTAATTCAATTTATATATATATATATATATATATATTTTTGTATGTATTTTATTAATGATATTGAGGCGAAATATTTATCTTTTTGTTGTTGTTTTTTTTTTTTTTGTTTTTTTTTCTTCTGTTTTTGAAAAAGTTACACTTTTGTAAGTGTTTGTTTTATTTAGTAATTGTGAACAAAGTATATATATGCACTGTTTGATAAAATAGTTAGCCTATATGTCAATTTTGACTTATTTAACCACTATTAGTTCTTTGATTTGATTAAAAAATTAATATAAGTGTTTGGTTAATAGCTTTTTGTAACTCCAATATGCTAAAATTAAAAAAGTTACTCAAAACAACTTTTTCAATATGCAAATAACAATAATTCGGACAAAGTAGATTTGGATCATATTGTTTTTTTGGCCCGAGATTTGGCCAGTCAAAATACTGGCTAAATAATGTTAATATACATGCACATACACATTAATGTTTTTGTTAAAAATAAAATTTTAATTATTAGTCTCAAAATCTAAAATTAATATGATTTTCTACTAAATTAAAATTTATAAATGACGTTAAATAGATTTAAACTTGTAGTCTTGTACTATTAAAACTTTATATAAGACTTAATATTATTTGATAACTTATAAATATTATTTTTTTTACTCACTAAATTATGTTAGAGTGATAAATTAAAAATTGAGTTAATTACCAAAATGGTCCCTTGACTATAGTGAAATTACCAATTTGGTCCTTGACTATTTTTTTTTAACCAATTAAGTCCCTCAACTTTAAAAACTTTAACCAATTTGGTCCTCCGTTTGTTTGACCGTTAGTCAACCGTTAACTTGGGACCAAATTGGTAATTTTGCTATAGTCAAGGGACTATTTTGGTAATTAACTTTAGGGGTGGGCAACTCGGTTTAGTTTTCTTGAATTGAACCGTACCGAACCGAACAGAACTAGTTTGGTTCGGTAATATACCGAACAACCGAACGGTATTGGATTCTTGTATACCGAACGGTTCGATAAAAAACTGATCCGAACTGTTCGGTAAAAAATTGAACTGAACCGAATACCGTAATAGATAAATAAAAAGGAAATCCAAGTCCCTTGCTACTTGCTCTATCGTTCGGTTCGAGTTTTTACCGAATCGTTCGATATACAAGAATCTATTAACGTTCAGTTGTTCGGTATATTACTGAATCTAACTAGTTTGGTACGGTTCGGTTCGATAAAACTTAACCGAATTTCCCACCCTTAAAGTTAATTACCAAAATGGTCTCTTGACTATAGCGAATTACCAATTTGATCCCAAGTTAACGGTTGACTAACAGTCAAACAAACGGAGGACCAAATTGGTTAAGATTTTTAAAGTTGAGGAACTTAATTGGTCAACTGAATAAATAGCCTTATCAGAATTTAATTATAATATAATTTGTTATTTTCATCATTATTGTTATTATTTTAATCTTAATGTTCC